GATGTTTCTGTCTCTCTCTCTCTAAAATCAATACAGAAAAATAATTTAAAAAAAACCTCTGCAAAGATGCAGAGAGGGAAGGCGAGGCTTGGCCCTCACCCCGCCCCCCTTCTCTCAGGGCTGGACCTGAGCTGGGAGAGGGAAGCTGTTTCTCTCTCCCCGGAGCACCCGTTCCTGCTCTCCAGGGGCTCCCGGAGGGGCTGTCAGAGAGGTCCGTGGACTTGCCAAGTCCTGTCCCCTGCCTGACTCTAGAGTGCAATGCCCACACCCAGGGGTAGCTCATGCCAGGCCGAGCCCTTAAATAGTCTGCGGCAGGGATGGCCCGCCTTCTGCCTGCCCCTGGGCGGCACACAGAGAGGGTGGCTTTGGGACTAGGGATTAGGGCCCTGGGGTGTCCTCTGCTCAGGCTGGGCTTCTTAGAGCAAGCCAGGGACCTGCCCCCCACTCTCCCCCTGTGGATTTGGGCTGGTGCTGTCCCTCTCAGGGCCTCAGTGTCCCATCTTTCAATTGAGGGGTCTATCTGGACACGATGATCGGGAAGGTCTCTGTGAGCAAATCTGTGTCCTGGGAACTCAGAGGGGCATCTGCACCGTGAGCTCGGTGAGGCAGGGCCCTGTCCGCTCCGCCCTGCGGCGCCCTCACAGGGGGGCTGAATGACCCCTCCTCCTTCGCTGTCCTGCTTTCGACATGGCTCTGGATAGTCACTAGTATCTTGAATGTGTGCCCACCTGGTGCTCACTTGTCCCTCTAGGGGCAGCTGGCAGTGCAGGAGAAATAAGAAGCATTTCCCATGAGATCTGGAGCTGGGGTGACCCCACTGGATACCACTCCTGTTGCCAACCCTTCTCGCCCAAACCCGCAGACAGCGAACCCGGAGCAGCCTGCCAGGCCGTCGGGGGACCGTCCTTGTGCAGACAGCCTTGAGGTCTGTTAGACGAAGACCTGGCCCTCAGGGGTGGAAGACTGAGTGGGGAAATGAGACAGGAACGCCACCGCCTGCCACTTGTCCGCGTGGCTGCAGGGACAAGAGAGGAGGCAAAGCGATGTGTAGACACAGGATGGAGGCCCAGAGGAGTCCTCGGCCCAGACATCCAACAACCAGAGCTGGCATTTCCTCATTCGTATCAGGGAGGGAAGAGCAGCCTCCCTCCTGCCGGTGCCCCGTCAGGTGCTTCTCAGACACGAGCTCGAGTGATGCCGGGTTCTCCGCTGCAGCCACGGAGGCGCCGACGGGTCGAGCGTCTTTCCCAAGGCCCCGCAGCCAGTCGGTGGCAGATGTGGGGTTGAAACTTAGGCCCACCGAATTCAAAGCCTTTGCTGACCTTGCTGGGTTTTGGGGAAGCCCTGGTGGCATAAGAAGGATTTTAGAAGCTGGGTACCGTGGAAACGTAGGGTCTGAGCATCGAGGCTGGTCTGGAGAAGGCTCCTGGGGGCTGCTGTGTTAAGCAGGTGTTTTTGAGGGCAGAGTTGCCCAGAGGGCTGGGTCTGCTGTCTGGGAAGGGTCTGCCTTTCAGGAGAGACCCGTGGGGGAGGTGGATCAGCCGTCCTGGGCTCCAGGCCCTTTGTGGTCCAGGGAGAGAGGAGCCTGGATGGAGAGCTTGGGGACAGGGTGTAAACCTCGGCTCTGCAAACGAGCCACCTGGTGACCACGGACAAACTCGGAGGACCAGACTCAGAAAAGAACTTGCTGAAGGACACTTAGAAGTCATTGCAATGCAAGGCCCACAGTGAGTTGGTGGAGCTGTAAATCCAGGCATTTCTTCTTGGTTCCCACTGCCCTGGGCCTTGGCATTCTGGGCCCGTTTCCCCACGTGTGAAATGAGGGGATTGGATGGAAAATTCCTACTACCATTCTGCCTCTGACATTCTGTGTGGTGAGGACCGTCACGAGCCCCGAGCTTTGGAGCTCACGCTAGAGGCAGACATCAGACAGGCTGACCCTCAGGCCATCAGCTGCACGGGCTTTGCCACCGTGGGGAGCAGGACCATTCACCAGCCAGGCCTGGGGTGACAGGGGTCCTGAGAACAGAGAGGTCAACAGAGGACACCCCTGTTTGGATAGGATGGCACTAACTGGCTGGAAAGGGAGGGACCAGGCAGTTGGTTAAGGGCACAGACCCTGAACCAGAGGTTAACTCTTGGCTCTGACACAATCAAATTGGGGCAATGTATTTAACCTCTCTGGGCCTCAGTTTTCTCATCTGAAAGAAGGGTATGATAAAAACAGTCAAGTAGTTTGGAGGGCAAAATGAAGTCACGCATGTGAAATGTTTAACACAGTGTTCAAGATATATTAGCTAGTGTTATCTTACTACCTTTTAACATGTATAGCATGGAACACCCAGAGATCACACATGGACTTCATAGCAGGTCTCTAAGACAGCATCAGGTGGGTCGAGAGAGCCAGAGGCCAAGTTGATGTCTTGGCTTCATGGTGACCTTTGCCAAGTGGCTTGGCCTCCCTGGACCTCAGCTGCCTCATCAATAAAATGGGGCCATAAACGCCCTCTCTGGTTGTTGTATGGACTCAATGACAGTGTGCTAAGTGCACCCTCATTTGCAAGGGGTGCTCATGATTGCAACTTTCTCTCTCCTTCCCTGGAAACGTACTGGGGAGGGGACTGGATTTGGTGTGATTTCTCCAGAAAGTTCAACACAAGCGAGCAGCACTCTGTCCTGTCCCATTGGAAACAGGACCTCTGCCAGCTTCCCCCAGGAGGGCCCGGCTGGGACCCCAGCCGCGTGGGCCCTGTGGTTCATGTCAAAGGACAGCACTCCTGTGTCAAGGCACTAAAGGCCCTGCTGGGGAGGGGGGACCGCGCCCTGACCCTGACGGGGAGCATGTCCCGGTCACCCCGAGTTTGTGCGACTGGGGCTCTGCAGGAGCTCTGGTATTGTTCCCCTGAGAGGCGTTGGCCAGAACCTGCTCAGCAGCCCCGGGAGGATCCATTAATCACCTTTTTGTCAGTTTTGATCCTCTGCTGAGAAAGCCAGAGCTCCTGCTTTGGGCTGAATCACACCTTTTCAGAGGGACAGCTGAGCCATCAGTTTGGGGCAGAGGGTCGGGCCAGGTCAGGGGTCAGCCGGATCCGGTTCAGAGGCCTCTGAGCCCCTGCAGAGCTCCCTGGCTCTCTCCCTGGTGCTGACTCCGCAGGGTAACAGGCCACAGCCCTACCTACTGGAAACAAAGGGCCACAAGCCTGGCGCAGAGCCCCGTTCCGGTCCCGCTTCTGAGTCAGCGGGGGCTTTCCAGGGGGGCCTCGAACCTGTGCCACCCGTCCCAGCCCCTGGCCTGCTCCCACCCAGACCTCTGCTGGTGTGGCCAGAAGGCTGCTCCCAAGAGGCTGTTCACAGAAAGCTCGGCCCCTCAGTGAGCTGGGCCGGGAGCTTAGTCCAGGGTCTTTCATGCTCAGATCTGGAACCTTCTCCTTCTATCCCAAGCTTGAGTGGTCACTCAAGGCCCTTCTCTCCCAGCCTGGGTGGTGAGGGCCCTCTGGCACGTGCCGCTGAACAGCAGCCGACTTTCAGCCACTCGGCGGGAGACACCCTGCCCCGGGCCCTGGGTCGCGGCCCTCAGTGCGGCCTCTTGCTTAGACACTCACAATCTGAGACAGGTGTCATGGGTTTGGGGGGCTGGAGATGGCCCCACTCGGGTACTGCAAGGCCTTCTATCCGGGTTTGGCCTCGAACCCAAGGCCGCTGGCATAATGGGGTCAGGAAACACACAGGTCAGGCTGGTCCAGGGCTTCTCAACCCCGACACCGCTGACCTTTCGGGCGAGAGAGTTCTTTGCTGCGGGGCTGTCCTGTGCACAGCAGGGGGGTTAACAGCACCCCTCGCCTCTGTCCTCCAGGATCATCCTCCTGTTGGACGGCCAGTGTTTCTAGACACTGTCCAGTGTCCCCTGGGAACAAAGTAGCCCCGGGGCTGGGAACTTCTGACTTGCTCAATGGGCATGGAAGTTGGAATGCCTTAGGGGGTGGTGTGTGGGTGATCGGGAAAAGGCACAAGGAGCTTTATGGGGTGCTGGACATGTTCTGGGTGGGGGCTACACAGGCGAACACTTGCTTGAAACTTCATACATAGGTACAAATGCATTAGGCTGGACACGTGATTTGTACGTTTTATTACATGAAAACTACACCTAAGAAATGAGCTCTAGTGTCAGGCGGAACCAGGCTTGGGTTTCGGCCGGACACTGCCCTTCAGGCTGTTTCCTCACGCGTGGAATGGCGTAATAGTGAGCCCCCCTCGCCGGCGCGAAGATTGCACTTGACAGTCGCCAGTACCACGTCCTCAGCCCGGCGCCTGCCTGCGGGGAGGGATCTGACAGTACGCGCCGCTACAGTGCACAGGGTCGCTTCCTCGCCTGCGCCTCAGTTTCCCCAGCTGTGTTGGATGGTCCCGAAGGTTCCCTGCCACGGTGACTTTATCTGATGGTCTTGGAGTCATTTTCTTCTCAGCCTGGACATTTTCAAGGTCGTTGATTCTGCAGCACAGTCAGCGCTCAGAGTTGCTGGGAGCACTGGGTAGGTGAAATGCTGAGAAGGACGCAGGATGTTGCGGTCAGAAGTTTCAGAAACAGAAAGAAGGCAGGCCAGGGGCGGCGGTGACCGTGCAAAGCAGCAGGTCACTTTGCAGCCACCTCTCCCTTCAGAGAGGCTCCCTGCGAAGGCTTTGCGTCTGGGTCCCCATTCCGATACTGGGTGGGGCCGCCAGCCTCGGGAGTGAGTCCCTCCAGTGGAGAGGTGAGACGGAATCGGGCCGTCAAAGGGCAGTCTCAAGCAGAACACCGTTCCCTCTGAATCATCCCTTTCGTCAAGGATTAGAAAAAAGCCAGCCCCCCCACCCAAAGGCACAACCCACCCTGGAGAGCAAAGGTAACCGGGCTTGTGGGAAACAAAGACGCCCAGCTGGCACCCGTCAGAGGGTGGGGAAGGGAGGAGAGATGGGGCCATTGTCCCAGCTCTGTGGAGGGTGTATATAAGGCACCCACCGGGGGAACAGCCACCATCCTCGTCCCAGGCCAAGTCAAGCTCCTGCCGGCACCTGCTCTCCATCTTGCTCTCATCATGACCTGCCGCCTGCAGAACTCCGCTGCCAGCTACGGGGGTGGCTGCCAGCTGGGCGGAGGCCGCAGCATCTCTGCCTGTTCAAGCCGATTTGTCTCTGGCGGATCAGCCGGGGGTTATGGGAGCGGCATGAGCTGCGGCTTCGGTGGAGGGGCTGGTAGCGGTTTTGGGGGTGGCTTCGGCGGTGGCTTTGGAGGTGGCTTTGGAGGTGGCTTTGGTGGGGGTTTTGGGGGTGGCTTTGGTGACTTCGGTGGTGGCGATGGCGGCCTCCTCTCCGGCAATGAGAAGATCACCATGCAGAACCTCAACGACCGCCTGGCCGCCTACCTGGACAAGGTGCGTGCCCTGGAGGAGGCCAACGCCGACCTGGAGGTGAAGATCCGAGACTGGCACCAGAAGCAGAGCCCGGCCAGCCCGGAGCGTGACTACAGCCACTACTATAAGACCATCGAGGAGCTGCGGGACAAGGTGAGCCCTGAATGTCAAGCAGGGTTCCTCTGTGCAGGGCAGAGCGGAAAAGGCCGGCAAACACCATGCCCCAGGGGACCAGAAGGTGCAGTGTGGATGGAATTCTCGCCCGTCCTGCAGAGGAAAATTCTAGTCTTTTATTACCAACGTCTCTGCCGCTGATGGGCTCTCTCATGCCATAACTCCTCAAATGCGTTTTCTCCCATTCTTCGCTTTGTTGTTGTCAATACTCATGTCAGTGTTTTTTTCGCTTTCCAAACAGTTATGTAACGAGTGACTCAATCTCTATCGTCCTAATCTTCTGAGTTATTTGGAAACCATGACAGTTTTAAAAGCCACTAAGAAGGACTAAATCAATAGAGAAAGGACTGCAAGTCCATGCCCTGGTCTGGGAACACTAGTTTACTCTGCAGGGGCCCCGCTGAAATTGTTGTTCTCAATTGGTTGTGACCAGGTGGGAGGTGGAGGCAGAGGCTTAGGCGGTGGGAAGCCTGGATTCCCTCCAAGCCTGTCCATCACGTTGCATTACCAGCTTGTTGGAACAGACACCCACCTGCCCGGGCCGAGTCCCAGCTCTGTGGGGTGGATTTCAAGTGCTTTGGAATAGAAGCGTTTAGCCAAAGAGTTCAGCTGGGTGGGTGTATTCGTTGGATTTCCTCTCTGCTCAGCTGGCAGACCTGCTCCGGGGCAGCCATGAGCTGTGGCTGACGCCCTCCTCCCCTGAAGGAGAGGGCTCTCGAGTGGCCTGGAGAGGTTGCTAGTCTGAGGCCGTGGAGACTCGACCATCCAAAGATGTCCTCGGGGGGACTGTTCCCCTGAAATGTACCCCCTCCTCTTCCCCGTCATGACCAGAAGGCAGGGCATGGAATGCTAACTAACCGAAGGGACCGGGCCAGCCCCTCACTTTACAGAAAAGGAATCGAGGCCCCGCTCGCATGGAAAAGTCTGACCACAACCAGTCCTGTCCATGTTTTCTCAGCCCCCCTCCCCGAGCTCCCGGAACCTCCAGAGGTTACCTTCTGTGTTTTGCAGATCCAGGCGGCCACCATCGACAACAACCGGGTCATCCTGGAGATCGACAATTCCAGGCTGGCTGCGGACGACTTCAGGCTGAAGTGAGTTTATTTTTCTCCGTCACCTTTCCTAGCGGTCTCTGGTTTTAGACAAAGGCTCATCTGAACAATGAAACTGGAGCTTCCCAGGAGTGATTGCCTGGGAGAAGCAGCAGAGCCCAGTGCAGAGGCAGGGGGAGTGTCTGATATCACTGATGTCTTGCTTTTTCCATAAAAAAAAAATCAGGTATGAGAACGAGCTGGCCCTGCGTCAGAGCGTGGAGGCCGACATCAACGGCCTGCGCCGGGTGCTGGACGAGCTGACCCTGGCCAAGACCGACCTGGAGATGCAGATCGAGAGCCTGAACGAGGAGCTGGCCTACATGAAGAAGAACCACGAGGAGGTGAGAGGGGCCTGGGCCTGTCCTGGCTGCATCACCCCAGTGAGAAGAGGGAGCCCAGTGCTGTGGCCAGACTGAGCCCTCCCCTGGGGGACCTGGAAGGGCTTTCCAGAACACCCAGAGTCAGGAGAGGAAAGACAGGGAGCTTCAGACCGGTTCCTTTCCCATCCCCGCAGGAGATGAAGGAGCTTGGCAACCAGATGGTAGGCCAGGTCAACGTGGAGATGGACGCCACCCCAGGCATTGACCTGACCCGCGTGCTGGCGGAGATGAGGGAGCAGTATGAGGCCATGGCCGAGAAGAACCGCCGAGATGCCGAGGATTGGTTCAACAGCAAGGTGCCCGGCCCTCTTACCCCGGGGAGCCAGGGGGTGCCAAGCCTTCGATCTGTGCTTCTCCATCACCTTCTTCCTGCTTGACTTTCAGAGCGCAGAGCTGAACAAGGAGGTGTCCTCCAGCACTGCCATGATTCAGACCAGCAAGACAGAGATCACGGAGCTCCGGCGGACGCTCCAGGGCCTGGAGATCGAGCTGCAGTCCCAGCTCAGCATGGTACACCTGCTGCCCCTGCCCAGCGGCCACCACCCCCAGACCGCCTCTGGGCTGGCTCCCCTCACGACCCCTCTATTGCCTCACCAGAAAGCCGGGCTGGAGAGCACGGTGGCAGAGACGGAGTGCCGCTACGCCACGCAGCTGGTACAGATCCAGGACCTGATTGGCAGTATCGAAGCCCAGCTGAGCGAAGTGCGTGCTGACACCGAGCGGCAGAACCTGGAGTACAAGCAGCTCATGGACATCAAGACGCGGCTGGAGCAGGAGATCGCCACCTACCGCAGCCTGCTCGAGGGCCAGGATGCCAAGTAGGTCCTCACCAGCTTCTCTCTCGGGAAGGTGACTGCAGGCCCTCGGATGTCAGAGCAGGCCATGTCTTAGGGGCTAGGCCCTCCTGTCCTCGGCAGGAGGGGACCTGACTGAGCTTAGACAGGCTGGACAAAGACCCAGGATCAGAGCACTGCTGTCCTCGTGAATCAGCCTGGGGGGCATTTTCTCAGCAGGCTGCAGAATCAATACCGTTGGGCATTCTAACTCAGGCCTCGGAATTGGACCAGCAGGAATAGGGACCACGGAGGGAACATCTCTTATTGGAACCATATTAGCTTGGATTGAGGTCAGCCCAACAAAGCGACTGAGATGATGATTTAACTGCCTTCAGACCACGTGTAGAGACCAGGCCGTCCCTGCGGGCTCAGGGCGGGGTGAGGGTGGGACCCAGTGAACCAGAGGGAGGACAAAACTTCCAGCAAATGCCCTGCACTCTGGGGCCAATACTAGCTTCTCCTGAGGCCCCAGACAGACAGACCTGGCCGTCAGCTGCTGGCCCTGGGCTGAGGGCACAGTCAGGTAAAAACACGCAGCTCGGGGCTCCAGCGACCGTCTGAGTTGCACCATCTGGGGACAGGTGAGCCCCACTCTCCCTCAGTTGTCTTTCTGCTCATGGCTGCCTCTCTCCTCCCTTCCAGGATGACCGGCTTCCCCACCACAGGAGGTGAGGACATACTGGGGGGAGGTGCTCCTGTTCACTGCCCGAAAGGCTGGGTAGGGAGGGGGTGCTGGGCTCCCCCGAGGAGGGAGAGAGGGGCTGCGGTGAAAGTGGACATTGGCTCATCTGTTTTTTCCCCAACATAGTTGGCTCTGCCCCACAGAGCTGGGCTGTCTTGGAGGGAGCCAGCTCTGGGGCTAATCACACAGAGTCCCCATGAACTGACCCCTCACCTGACCAATGCGGGGAGGGGTTGGGGCTCTCCTGGGGGCCCTGACCTGGCTTGAGGCGAGTCTTCTCCAGTCTGAGCATCCTTGCCTCTTGATTTCCCAGGAAACGCCAGCACCAGAAGCCCCACAGCTACTGGCTCGGCCACTAGCCCAGTTACTGGCTCGGCCACGGGCCCAGCTGCCAATCGCCGTACTTCTGACGCCGCCCGCAGGTCTTAAATCTGCCTGGCACCCTCCCTCTGTCTTCCGCGCCCAGAGGACGGAGCTGAAGATCCCTGCAGGAGAGAGGGAGGGACTTGGGAAGCTCAGTCCCTGGGCTCCCAGGCCCGGCCCCCCTTTCTCTAGGGGGGACCCTCTTTGCTCTTCTCTCTGGACCAGCTTCCTTTTCTTCCTGACTTGGCTGTTTTGATTTCTTAGCTTCTCTGCTAAAAAGAAAAGATAATCCAATAAAGCTTTCTGCCTTTTTGCAAACGTATTTTTGATTCTGGCCTGGTTTCTGTGGGTGGCACCTGCCAAGAGGCGGATTTGGGGCTGTAGGTGAGCAGGTCAGCCTGAGGAGCTCAGCCCAGGGGGCTCCCGGTGAGGAAGGGCTTAGGCACCGGGCATGCCAACAGCACACCAGTGCAACAATGACAGACGCAGGGGCACAGGTGGCTCACAGATGCTGGCACCCTGCAAACACGGACAATGGGGGCCAACCGGAGACATGCGGGGGGCATGCAAACCAGTTCAACACCTTAAAGGGTGTCCAGCAATGTGGCAGTAACGGTTCTTATTGAGTCAGTTAATGGGGAGATGTGGCTGAGAGGTGTGGAGGGTGCTGGGGTAGGCTGTGAGGGGCCAGTGCAGGGCTGCTTTGGGGAGGAGGAGGCCCAGGACAATTACCCAGCCCCAGCCCGCTGCCTCCCTGCTTCCTGCAGAGAGGATGGACGTCCAGACCTGCAGTGCCCCTCAGCCGGCCCCAGGGTCCTGCCGTTCCCAACCACTGGCTAAAGCAGGCACAGAACTCAATGAGTGACCTGTGTGCCCTGCCTTTCCTCCCTGCGCCCCCTCTGCCCCCGCCCGTGCCCGCACTGCCTCGATGAATGTCCCAGCTCAGACTCGCAGCCTCCTCTTGCTCAAGCTCACGCCTTCCACAGCCGCTGGCCGCCTGCTCCCTGGCGTGGGCTCTTCTCTTTCCCCTCTGGTCTCTGATTGTTTGTGAATGAGGACATCAGTGATGGATGTTGATGCAAGAGACCCCAAACTGGAGGGGACAGTCCCGGGGAAAGGAGTGGTGTGCCTGGCACTCGCTCTGTACGAGCTCCTTTCGTTCTTCATTTCATGCTGTCTTTACCACAAGCCCTGCGTTGGTACCGTGGTGCCCATGGTACACATCTGGAGGCTGAGGCTCAGACTGGTAGAGTGACCCACCGTGCTCTCTGAGACGGTGGCTGGTCCTCGATCAGCACCAAGCGTTCAGCTCTGGGATCCAGGGGGAAAACGAGGCTCTCTCCTAAGCCCCATGCTTCGGGGACAAGGAGGCCAACCACAGGACGTTCCCAAGGTGCCCCAGGGCCTCAGAGCTCTAGAGCGAGCACCTCCGCCGGCAGGTGCTTCATCAAGGTGGCTAGTTGCTGGGCTGCCTGTGACTCCTGGCTGCTGTCACCCCCCTTCTCACCCGCAGCAAAGGCGCCTCCCTCGCCCAGAGCCTCCGCCCTGACGGACCGGCCAGCACACTCTGCCCTCCCACGGGGCTGCGTGTCCTGCCTGGGTCCTGCAGGGGGCAGGCTCACTCCAGAAAGCAGGTCAGTGCCTCTAAGGCCACCCACTGGGACACAGAAGGAAGGGACCGGGCTCTAGACCTGGTCCTACCTTGGCCTGGTCCCAACATGAACTCCTAGTGGGCAGCTGGGCACTGGGGTGAGCAGGGCATGGCCGAGGACAGAGCAGCAGCCCCGAGACCCCCTTGGGTGCCTGTTGTCCCTGTTTTGGGGGACAGCCTTGAGGGTCCACAGAAGACCTAGAGTATGAGATAAGCGTGTCCAGGTCTTCCTGGCAAGGGGCATCTTGATGTCCCCCCACCCCCCCCATCACACAGCCTGGGGGAGCCCGAGGAAGAGAAGACAGATTTTACGGGGGCTGTGGTCTGCGGCTGCTCCAGCTTCCATCCCTCCCTGCCGGGGTCAGCGCACCTCTGGGGCTGCCGGGGCTTGCTCCCTGGTGGATGATGTTCCTGAGGCTTTGGGGGCTGGCCTGGGGCAGGGCATGTGGATTGCTCCCCTTGGAGCAGCTCCCCTGGGTGCTACAGAGTCTGAGAGGAGTCAGGTGGGTGGGTGCTGCCCCTGGGGGTGGGGATGTGGGGGAGCTGGCCAAGAGCTGGTATTCCCACTTCTGGCCCATTTTTATAGACAGCGTAATAAGTCTGTGGCTTCTTTCATCCAAGGCTCTCAGACCAGGTTGAAAGAAGAATCCACAGCATAAAGCTCAGTTAATTACACCCTGGAGCCCACGGTCTGGTTTGCAGACAGGCCGTGAGACCCGCTGACACCAGCCGCTGTAAACGCAGATGATGGAACCCAATCAAACGGAGACATTTGCTTTGCGGTTCGGTTAAGTGGTACCTGCATCGAGGGGACGCGGGAGACCGAGGTACCCGCTTCTTTCTCCCAGTGGGCCTGGCTCTGCGGCTCCCACAAACCGCAGGTTCTCCAAGCACCGTAGGGAGCAATGACAGCCTTGGGCTGCTTCATAAAAGCTGGTGGGGGAGTTAGGGACCGAGTGGATCTGAGCAGGAAGCCCTGGGCCCTTCCGGATGGGAGCTGAGCCCGCACAGCTGTGCAGGGAGAGCTGGCCCGGGGGAGAGGCAGAGCACGGCACGAGAAAACCAGCGAGGTATGGCTTCCGACTGGGCTCAGGGCGGCTCTCCAGGCCTGCCCCTTGGCAAGAGAAGTTTGCAGCAGAACCCTGAAGCCCTGGGCAATTGCCAAAACCATACGGGGGGGGGGGGGCACCTTTGTATTTGGGGGGAGAGGAGAGTTCCGGGGCAATTCTGGCCTGGCAGAGGACTTCTGGGGCCTCATCAGGGTAAGGCCAAGGCCCAGGCCCAGGGGGACTCGGCACCATGCACAGAGCAGCGCGTGGGAGCTGGGAGCCCGGGGGCCCTGCAGACCCGAGAGCCTCGGGAGAAACTATTGCTTAGAGCCAAGGCCAACTCGCCAGCTCTCCTGAGGCCCTGAGCAGCTCTGCGCTCTGCGCTCTGCAGAGGGGGTGGGAAAGACCTCCTTGGTCACCCAGTGTGTGTCCAGACTGCCCCGAGCTTGGTGAGGCCTGGAGACAGCAGAGGTAGGCAGGGGTTTGGGGCACAGGCCAGAGAGTAGGAAATGGAGCAGTGGGACTTGCCAAATCTTGCCTAGGAAGGTCTGCGTCACCCTGCTCAAGGCAGCTGCCGTCGGGGTGGAACGTCACCGGGGTGGCCAGGACGAGAGTGAGGACCACTCAGCACTGTACTCTGAGTCCTGTGCCCTGGGCCTGTGAAGGCAAAAACGCAGCCACTCAGAACAGGGCACAGAGAAGCAAAAGGGAGTGCTTTTCCAGGGGAAGTCAGATATACTTGTCCCCAAGACCAGCTTGGCATGGTGACAAGAGCGAAGGAACAGCTGTGTCAGCTTCCCCGAGGATTGCCAGGCGAAATGCAGGACGCCCAGTTCAACCGGAATTGCAGGTAGACAGCAAACCATTTTTTAGTGTGTGTGTGTCCCCAGCATGGCCTGGCCACCCCGTCCTCAGCGGGTCTGCGAACAGCCCCGAGTCTTCCGCCGTTGAAGTTGAATGGGCGAGACCTTTCTCCAGTTCTCTGGACAGACGGAGTTGGTGGCTTGAAGTGTCTTAATTGCACATGTCTCTCCCCTCCCATAATGCTCCTTCGCCTCTGTGCCTGTCGCGGCGTGTCCGCGCCAGAACCCCACATCTGCCCTGGCAGACTTGGCACGCGCTTTCGATGTCGTTATCTGACCAGATGTATAGTAGCCATGCTTTCCTGGGAGGGGCAGGAATCTCAGGTGCTCTGTCACTCGAACATTCTTTGTGACAAGGAAAAAGCAGCTGTGTGTGTGAGGGGACAAGATCAGGGCAGGTGTCCCCATTTCTGGGTAGACGCTGAGGGGGTTAAGACACGGGGTCAGCATTTCGTAGATGCCTGGTAGGGAGGGAGGTTCTGCAGGATCTGTGCGTGTGGCCGTCAAGGGCGAGGCAGGCAGAGGAGACAACCAGGAAGGCGGAGCCCAAGCCAGCAGGACACTAAGCGAGGCAGCCAGGGACTTCTCGGGGGATCTCAGTCCCCTTGGTGCCCGGCTGTAGGTGACTTGGCTGCTCCACGGTCCACTGTCTGCTTCCTCCAGTGTATTTGGGACACTATGGTGTGTTGGTGGCTGGTACCCTGACCACAGCCCAGAGAAGCAGGGAAGGGGGACCTGCTCAGACAACCCATTTCCTCCCCAGGCACACTGAAGGCTGTGCCTGCTCCTTTGAGGCAGGAGACTCAGGCTGGATTTCTTGGCTCTTGGCCCATGGAGGACCTTGGCTCTCAGATGGAAGCTCATTTACGGATGGGGACTTCATTTTACCGAAGAAGGAGCCACAAACTCAGTGGTTGACTTTGAACGTGGTGGCCGTCTGTGATGGGCCTGGGGAAAGCTAGGGTGTTTTCTGTCTCTGTGGCCCTAAAACCAGCACCTGTACCTGCAGAGGGGGGAGGGGCGTTTGGAAGCTTCTAGAGTAAAGATCAGAGGCCATTGAGAGTCCTGGCAATGGGGTCCCTCTAGCTCTGGAGGTAGTCCCAGCCACCACCTCTCCGAGTCAGTATTGCATGAAACCGGGTGAGTGGCTTGTGTACTGGAAATAGTATCTCACTGGGCTCCGACTGCATGGGCTCTAAGACAGCTGTGATCGCTTACATCTGTGACGTGAATTCCTGTGTATCAAGCACATTTCAATATAGTTCCCACAATCCGGTGAATGTGGTGTCATGATCTCCATTCAGCTCTTGGGAAAACCGAGGCTCCGATGGGCTGAGGATTGACCTGAGGTCTTGTTGAGCCCAGGCCCGGGGTCCCTGCTGTCTGGCTCAATGTTCCCTGAGCCCCGTCTTCTGAAAAGCCAAGTCCTTGGCTCAGTCGGCGGAGATTTCACTTTTACCTGGACATGCTGGATGCCTGCTCCATCTTCTGATGACATTGCACCTTCGAAGGGGCCCTTTTGGGGAACAGCCCTGGGAGGGAGTTAGCATGCCTCCGCCCGTGAAGACGACCTCGACGAAGCCAGGCCATCGCTCTTGCACGGTGTGTAGGCCTGGAGGCCAAGGGAGACCTGAGGTCCACGGCCGTTTGCAAAGGAAAGAAAACCCCACCGTGTCATCGAGAAGAAACCTCATGTTTATTTTTCATTCTGCGGGTCAGTGATAGAGAAGGGACGGTGACTGTGGGGGACGGTGACTGA